AACCGGGGCGGGACAAGCGGGATGGGACAACCGGGGTGGCATGAGCGGGATGGGACAACCGGGGTGGGATAACCGGGGCAAGATAAGCGGGATGGGACAACCGGGGTGGGATAACCAGGGTGGAATGAGCGGGATGGGACATCCGGGGTGGGATAACCGGGGCAGGATAAGCGGGATGGGACAACCGGGGTGGGGTAATCGGGGTGGGTCAGTCGGGAGGGGGTAACAAGCACAGGACGATCGGGATGGAACAATCGGCGTGGAACAATCGGCGTGGGATCACCGCCATGACCCGGTGGGGGGGGGAGCACGGAGGGAGCCTCGGATGGTCGGGAATGGCTTGAACGCCTGGCTGGTGATTCTCCTCCACGGTATTAAAGCAAATTCGCACAGGCACGCCGTGTGTTGTTGGCTTCTCTTCCGCTTTTTTTTTTTTTTTTTTTCTTGTTTTTGTTTGTTTGTTTGTTTGTTTTTTTGTTTGTTTTTTTGTTCCTTTCCCCATCCCGAAATACCGGGATTTCTGATGCTTTCAGGCTGAAATGCTTTCGTGGGAAATGAGGCCCTCAGCTGGTAGTAGGGCGGCTGGCAGAACGGGTAGCAGATGCTTAAATTAGTGACACTGGAGCTTTAGAGTTTATGGACTCTAGAATTTATAAGCTACATTACCAGAATTTGTTAGCTGTGTTACGTAGCTTGAGTATTTGGGAAGAGGATGCTTAAACTATGTTGGTGTGCAGCTGTAGGCACATGGGTGATAAAAGGAAGATTAGGGGAAACATGGGCCCTCTCAAAAGGGAAATGGGACACCTGGTTACCTGGGATATGGAGAAGGCTGAGGTACTCCACGAATTTTTTGCCTCAGTCTTCACTAGCAAGTGGCACCACCAGAGCTGCAGAAGGCAAGGCAAGGATGAAGAGAATGAAGAACCACCTGCTGTAGGAGAGGATCGGGTTTGAGACTGTCTAAGGAACCTGAAGGTGCACAGGTCCATGGGATTTGATGAGATGCATCTACTGAACCTGGGGAGTCTTGCAGATGAAGTGTCTAAGCTGCTATCCATATATGAGAAGCTAAGGTAGTCTGGTGAAGTTCCCACTGGCTGGAAAGGGTAAAATATAGCCCCTCTTTTTAAAAAGAGAAAAAAGGAAGTCATGCCTCTGTGCCCAGCAAGATCATGGAGCAGATCTTCCTGGATACTATGCTAAGGTACATGAAAAGTGAATGGTGACAGCCAGCATGGCTCCGCTAAGGGCAAGTTGTGCCTGACAAATCTGATGGCTTTCTACAACAAGGTTACAAGGGAAGAGCAGCTGATGTCATCTATCTGGACTTGCACAAAGCATTTGACATTGATTTGACACGCAACATCCGTGTCTCTAAATTTGAGAGACGTGGATTTGGTGGATAAGGAACTGTCTGGTGAGTTGCAGTCATAGAATTGCAGTCAACTCCAAGTGGAGACAGTACTTACTTGTATCATATAAATGTTGCTCAAAATGAGGACAGTGAGCTGTTTTTGCTCCAAATTGAAAGCTTTCAATTAATTTTTAATTGTTGTCTTTCTAGAGAAGTTATTTAATGACACCTATGCTAAGTTTTTACTACTTTTTGCTTTGCGGTAATTTCCACTTGTGTAATCTTTTGCAGATGGAAGGCTTCAGAGTTGTTAATCAATGCTGTTGTATGCACTGTGACAGATGGAAGTATCTATTTTATAGCACAGTAGAGATGTCAACTGCATTACTATGTATGTGTGTCCACATACATTTCCCTGAACAGTTACAAGGGCACCTTCTCCTTCCTCCCCCCTGGGACCAAGCCCCTGGACCATCTACTGTAAATTTGCTCTGGCAGAACTAAAAAATAAAAATGTTTTTCAAAACTGTAATGGGATAATAAGTGTTTCTTTCAGAAAGAATGCAGCTGTCCAGGGAGAAGGGGTCCTCACAACTTCTTAAAATTTTGGAATGTATGACAGTATGAAAGAAAGTCTGTGAAACTGGAATATTTATACCAGAGATTAGAGTTGATTTGAGGAAATGTTATTGTGTGCTGTAAGTAGTTTTTCTTCTTTCCACAGTTTTAATTTGTTTTTTGAAATGTTAAGACTTTGTATGTTTACTTTTTCACAAAAAAAATTCAATTTGGTAATGTTTGAGTGCCAAGAAATGAACACGGTTTATAATCTTTAATGCAGAACTTTGAGAGTCCATTCTACCTGTATTTCTACACCCTCATGTAGTTCTACATTCTTACTTCTTGAAGAGTTGCATAACTAGTAGTGTAGACAGGATGCTCATGGCTGTTGATAGGTTTGAAAGAAACTGTTTTCTGGAATTAAACTAGAATACTTTAAATG